CAGCAGGATCTCCTCTGCGAGGGTTATTATTTTTTATATATATTTCTTAAAGAATTATTTGCCTCCGTGGAGCTCGGTGCTACGGGAGAAGAGGGCAGCCGTGCCGCAGCAGCACCTCCTCACGTGTGGCCGCAAGACCAGGCCCCTCCATCACTGCCGGGGCTGGCGAGGGCTGGTGGGGAGGCTGCCAGCCCCTGGCCTTCCCGCTGACCAGATACCAGGGTGACGGGCACCGTACAGTCTTTGGGAGAGGTTTGCTGGGCTGCTTTCCTCCCGGCTCCGCAGCGGGGAGAAGAGCACGGCCGGGTGGGGGGTTGGTTTTAACTGAAGGCCCTGTAGCAGGATGGCTCTGCGGGGGGGCAAAGGGAAGGACGACGCATTGCTCTGAGCTCAGCTGCACTTCCCCTGGGCACAAGGGCTTCACCAGCACCTCGTTGCTCCCCAAATCCTGCCAGACCCAAGCATCCGGGCCCCACGGGGAGTCAGGGCAGCCTTGACCCGAGTTTCCCTCTCCTGGCTGCTGTCACTGCCTCCTTTCTCCCCCCGGCAGCTGGGAGCAGATGAGGCCAAAGTCCCGGCAATCTCTGTTTTCCACTGAAGGCTGATAAACCGCGCGGGCATGGGACGGCAGCGATCTCCACCCATCCCGGTTTTGTGCAGGAAAGAGTCAATATTTAAACCCAAGTTTGTTTCCTGGGCAGATAGGGGAGTGCTGGGGCTGTCGGTGGGAGAAATCCCTGGCTCCATCCCGCGTGCCGGACCCAAACCTCCTCCTACACCCCTTCATTTGATCTCCTGACCACAGGTTTCACCCCGAATCCCCTCTCCTGCGGGAGCGGGGCCCCGTCCGCATCAGCTGTGCTACACGAGCACCAGCTGCGGGGCTGGGCACCCACTAATGGGGCAGCAATTTAAGGGAGGGGGGTGGCCAGCCAGGGTTTGGGATGTCTCCTTGCCTGCTCCTGGTACAGATGCTGTCCCCATAGTGGGACACCTCAAAAGCAGCATGGGATGAGAGGCAACAGGAGGAGGTAAGGAAATATTTCATCGTTCTATGAACGGCAGCCCCTGCTTCAAGGTAAGGCGGCGCACTGAAAGCATTGAAACATGGTTTTCATTTAAATTGACCAAAAATTGTATTCAAGTGTTGTGTTTCCAGCAAAGTTTGTGGGTCCCAGTGAACTGGGCAGAACTTGTTGGCAGGATGCTTGCTCTGGTGCAGATTTAGGTAAATTCCTTAGGTAAATTCCTCAAAGGAAAGGAAATAGCACTTTTCCTTGCAGTGGCTGCAGCCAGGCTGTGCACAGGGGGTAGGAGGTTTTACAGGCATGTGACCAGAAGGTGGCCTTAATTTTGAGGGTGAAGGTACATGTTCCTGAGCAGGCGGTTGTGTGATCTGGGAGAGGCAATGCCTGGTGTTGGGGAAGGCAAACCAGACCAGTGGGTAACGATCCTGCAAGCGGTGCAGGGGAGGATGGAGTGGCTGAGCCCACCTCATGGGTCTGACAGCAGCAGAGGGTCTCCATCATCCCTTCCAGAAGAGCTCAGGGTCAATTTTAACTCCAAATACCTACTTTCATGTATGTTGTTTCAAGGCCACTGCTGCCTCCACCCTCACTCCAGGTGTACCCAATACAGTTTGCTCAGCCTAAACCTGCTGACCTTCCATGGAGCTGAGGAAGACCAGAAGGAATCGGAGTTCTCAACAGCTGGTTTAGCCCCCCTTTTGGGCAAGAAACCAAAGGAAATGCCTGTGTTAAACTGAAACCTTTCCTGACTGAGGGAGCCTGTTGTGCAGAAAAAATTAACACGTTAAAAAAAGAAACACCCAAGAGTTCTTGTTTTACAGCTGTATTTTGGAGCATAATTAAATCCTTTCTGAAATAATCTCTGGTGTTAGGGAACAGGGCCATGCATTATTTAACCTTTGTTACTGTAACATAAACTGTACGGAAGGAAGGGAGGACAGACAGGACCGACTTCACGACACCGAAGGGAGCTGGCTGGGAAGCATCGGTCCCAGGCCCTGGCTGGGAGGTGTGGGTCAAACCCACCTGATGGAGGAAGACCCCTGTGTGATGGCAGGCTGGGGTCCCCAGAGGACCAGGATGTGATGTGACCCCAGCTGCTGCTGCAGCACATGGGAACCTGCTCAAGGACCCCAAAACCTCTTCCCAGGGAGTGCAGCAACACCTCTGTGCAAAAGACTGCTTCGTGGGGGAACCAAAACAGGGGAAATCTGCACGGCTGCCATGACAGCGCAGACTGGTGCAAAGAAACCCTCTTGTCTGGGGAACTGAGGATCACAGAATAAGAAGATAGATAAATCCTGCCCTGCTGCCACCGTGAGCTCTGCTACGCAAGAGCCAGCTGTGCTCCCATGTGCATGAGGAGCCCTTGACCCTGACGCCTCGCAAGCCTTTGGCCAGCTCAAGGTTTCCTTCTTTATTCCCGACAGCAAGGGACCGTGTGCCGCTCCTGCAAGGTGAACCCTTCTGTGTGTAGCTGTTAGGACACTGCCACGCAGCAGCCCAGCGACACAACGCGTGGCTCCACGTCCACCAGCGAAGCGGTGACGCTCGGGTTTGGCAGGAGCCCGGCGGGGCTCGTGGTCCTGCCGGCTGGGAGACACTCGTGCGATGCAGTCGTGCCAGTACAGATGTGCTGTACCCACACACGGGCCAGTCCAACCCAGGACCCATCGCCCCCGAGAAATGCATACAGGCTGCCTGCCCAGGTTGCACCCAGCAGCTCTGTTGGGTGTATCCTAAATACAGCCTGTCCTGCTGCAAAAAGCCTTCCCAAAGCAGTTACCATCTGCAGCACATGTCCCTCCCCCAGTGCTCTCTCCATGTCCAAGTCCCAACGCTGCCCTGGAGCCAAGCCGTACTCGTCTCTTTGGGACTGCGCTGCTC